TGAAATGCAAGCCATGTTCTCTGGCTAGCTTATTAGAAAACAAAATTGAATTTTGTGTTTTGTTTTGGAGGCTGGTGTTTTAATCCATTGAAGCTGTGGTACAATTCTGAACACAGACAAGTCTTTACATGTGGTGATTAATGCTTATTGGTTGTCTTTCTTACCTTATAAAAGTATTTTTAACACTAGAAAGGACATGACTTATGTGACTAGCAATAAACTATAATTATAATTATAAAGATAGATATATTTGTGTCAATGCTGAAATGTGCTGTGACCTTTAAGAAAAAGTAAGGCATAGTCATGGAAGTATTGTAGTGCTTTTCAAGAGGAAATAGATATGCATTTTATATTGAGTTATAATGAGTTCAAACCCATAAGTGTTTATATTTTGCACATCCTACTTCAAGTCTCATTAATCATTTTGGTTGTAAGCAATAGGCTACAGGCTGCACATCTCTTTGATTATGTTTTGAATGTCAGTGTTCATAACTCTATTTTGATTACTGAAATATTGATTTAAAAATGAAGGTTCTTAAGAAGTTAAGAGATAGAAAGAATGGTGAAAATGGGGTGGAATAAGCACCTTTGCTCACTCTTGGTAGGAAGATAAATTGAGCTATTATGGAAAATGGTATAGAGTTTCCTCAAAAATTAAAACCAGAACACCATATGACTCAGCAATTCTACTTCTGGATATATAGTTAAAGGAAATAAAAACAGAGTGTTTGAAGAGGTATCTGCATACTTGTGTTTATTGTAGGTTTATTCAGAAGAGTTAGAATGTGGAAGCAATATGTTTATCAACGCGTGAGTTAATAAAGAAGAAGTATTTTTAAAAATAAAATAATATTCCAGAAAAAGAAAGATGGCAGCCGCACAGGAGCCTTGTGGAAAGCGGGTTTGAGCCGGGCTCGGGGGAGCGGCGGGGACCTCATGGGAAGGGGGGCTTTGTGGGCCGTCCCCCACGCCCCACCGAGGTCGCCAGCTGCCCCCCACGAGCGGCTCTCCGGCACGGCCACGGCCCCGGAGGCACAAGGACTTAGCACAGAGAACCAGCCGCTTGGAGCAGAAAAGCAAATGGACTTGTGTTGATCCGTGCCACCAAGCCTGCCCGGAGGGGGAAGGGCGTTGACCGGCCCGCCCGCTCCTCTCTGGAAAGAAAGATGGCGGCCGCACGGGAGCCTTGTGGAAAGCGGGTTTGAGCCGGGCTCGGGGGAGCGGCGGGGACCTCATGGGAAGGGGGGCTTTGTCGGCCGTCCCCCACGCCCCACCGAGGTCGCCAGCTGCCCCCCACGAGCGGCTCTCTGGCACGGCCACGACTCCAGGGCACAGAAATCAATCTCTTAACTAGCTAACTTTTAATAGAAATTCTTCCAGGGTCAATAAGTAAAATAGCAGAAATTCAAAACCGCGCGGCCGTGATAGCGGCCGCGCGACATCATTTTATTCTTAAACCAAGTTGTAGAAAGCAAATCATTTCACAACGCTGTTTCAGCATGTCTGATTGGGGGGGGGGAGGGGGTGGGTCGTAAACTCTAAACAATAATTGTGCATCTTCTATCGAAATAATCTATCTAGTCAAAGTAGATAGAGTATTAACTAGAACTCATCTGCCTCATAAGAATTGGGAGGGGTGGGAAGTGGGGGTCTATTGGGGTTCGGGGTTAAAAATGAGTATTGGTAAAGGGAAATGTGTTCGGTATCTACATGACTGAGACCTAAACCCGAAAGCTCTGTAACTTTTCCCACAGTGATTCAATAAATAAATAAATTATAACACCCAAAAAAAAATAATATTCCATTCTTTGTACACTCACAAACACTAGAACATTATTCTTTCACAAGATAGATGGATGCCTATCACTTGTGACAATAGGCAATAACAGATAGACCTTGGGAGAATTACTCTAAGTATTATAAGTCAGAAGGGGACAATTTCTGTATGACATCAAATCTATCTGTAATCTAAATTAAAGATTCATAAAAATAGGAGAGAATGGTGGTAACCAAGGGATGGGCATAGGGGAATCAGGCAGATGTTAATTCAGGGTACAAAACTGCAGCTAATAGAAAAATGAGTCCTGAAGATTGGATTTTTATGCACAGTGTAGAGATTATAGACAAGAGAACTGAATTTTAATCTTGCAAATTGCTAAGAGACTAGATTTTAAATGTTCTCACTATAAAAATGAAATGGTATCCATGCAACATGGAAGAAGTATTATGAATGATGGCATTCATATATGTGAATTTTATCTGAATTTTAAAAATATCTAAACTGAGGCCAAGGTGATAGCTCAGATAGAGAAAAACACAAGATATGTATGTGTTAAGCATGTTTTGAGTCCAGTACTATGCCAGGCATGACATAACCACCCTCTCCTTCAGCACTGCTGGTTGTGTACCTCATGACCCCCAACACCATTGGATCCAAGCATGAAAGCCCCATTTTTGGGCAAATTTTGCCAGCAATGTCCTTTGGAATCTCTAGCGTTGTTGGGAGGCCACTCTTTATACATTAAAAATAAACAAGCTTCTGTAGGATTACAACCCAATCAAAAATAGCTTCATAATGGTGTATCTCATGGTGATTCAATAAAAAATTAAACATAAATAAACAAGCTTAATTTTATGCTACTAAATATAATTACCATTACAATTTGCAAAGCCAATACCATGCCTTAAAACAATTTAAATTATATTCTCATGACAACCTCAAGACATAATGCTCAAAAATTTGACTGATAGTAAATTTTATCTGTGAATTAAAGAAACTTGAGGAGACTCTTCTGAAGCTCAAACTAAAAAATCAAGTGATAGCCAATTCCTAACATTTTAAGGAAGACAGGATCTGCAGAGATATTCAGGATCATTTTGTTTTGTTTTGAGAGCACACCTGGCAGTGCTCAAGGTTTACCCTTGGCTCTGTGCTCACAGATCACTCTCAGTAGAGCATGGGGATCATATGGGATGCTGGGATCAAACCTAGTTCTGCTGCAATTCAAGGTAAGCACCTTACCCACCATTCAATGACTCTGGCCCCTCTGCAAAAATATTCAGCAAAGACCTAATTTGTATTATCACCGGTGCTATGAAACAGGTTTAGGAAGTTTCTTTGTCATTTTAAATATAAAATATTGATTGAAAGGGACTAGTCTCTTCATAGTAATTCCAATATTGCCACTATGATCAGTCATATTTATGTGCTTTTTAAGTGTGTATTAATTTGATTGAATAGATTTGGGACTAGATAGGGGAAAATGGAAACATCTACTTTAATCTTAATTCATGATTGGGAAAATTAACACCATGGAAATCACATGGTCAGTGACTATATTTGATGTAACTGAAGTTTATTTTTATTGATTCTCATTGTGAATATGTGAATAAATGTTCACTTTAAATTCCAACTCTATCTCTGGTAGTCTTCCTTTATCCAAGTTGCAAGCTTGGGTACTTCTCCAATATATCGTTAAAGGGCCCAATTCCATTTACCTCCTTGGGACAGGAGAAACAGAAGAGCTTGATCATTGCCCTGCAGTCTTAGATTGCTTGAGGGGAGTTGAATTGAGCAGGCAGAACAGATTTAGCTATGTGCCAACCTCCCTGTGGCAGAGATTCAGAAAAGCTGTCAGAATCAGGAAAGGCCGGCACAGAGTTACAGGAGGATCCTGAAAGGCAGATGGAATGCAATAATCTTGAATGCAGGAGTTGGCAGTACAATATTGGCCGATTGATCATTTTTCAAATATACTAGTCACTTTTATATCTTCTTGCCTCTATCATTCTGTTCTCTCTGACTGAAGCATTCACATGTTTCTAAGAAATTGGAGTTTTGTAACTTAAATCACAAGTTGGATGAGCCAGCAGTCAGAGTACATTAATGTGCTCTACAATAACGTAACATATGATTACACTCTTTTATAATAAAAAATAGAGGGCTTAGTGGATATTAGTAGACTGAAACTGTTCAAATGCTTAGTGAGATCAGTCTTAGCAGTGAGATCTGTTCTTTTGATCTTTTTCCTCATGGTCACAAAACAGTTGCTCCAGCTCTGTGCAACATGTCTGCCTTTAGAAAGGAAAACCATGGGGCAAGCAATATATATGTATGAGTGTATATAGGTATATACATATAGTATATATAGTGTATATACATATATAGTGTATATAGTGTATATACATATGTATGTATATATACATACACATACATATGTATTTAACCAGAAAAGCAAAGGGCTTCCCAGAACTACCTCTCAGAAGAATTAGGATTGCATCTCATTGTTCAGAGTTAGCAGGAAATAATGCTGAGAAATCAAGTAGATAGATTTTTTAGGCTTCGTGGTAGAGAGAGATGTGGTGGTAGGGGTGGGGGGAGAAAGAAGGTAGGGAGGAGGTGGGAGAGGGTTTAAATATTTGAAGTGGACAACTCAATGATTATCCTGTGGCATCTTATAAGTTGATGAACTAGTGACAATGATATTGTCAGTTCTTCCTAAAACTTGGTATTATTTTATTATAATAATTGTAAATAGACAAATTATCTCACCTATTGAGTATTTGTATACCAGTTTTGTATCACATGGAAAATTACAACAGTGGGTCCCATTTTCTGCTTGTTGGATGATGCCTTATGTTTGCATTGTATTTTCTGTATGAAGTAGTTCATATCTATATTTGATTCTTTGAGGATTCTCCCGCCACAAAAGCTCTTATTCTAGTCTCAAAGAGGAGAAAGTTGAGACAGACTGTACTTGTATTTGTACCAGGTTGAACAAGCACGAACTGAGAAGTGGATCTGGGTGTTTTATATCTAGAGATTATTTTATTATACTGACTGATGAGAACAGATTTTAAGGAATTAAAACATAAAGATCAGACAGCTTAGTATGTGTTTATTTTTTGTGTAGATACTGAATAAGTCATTTGCTTTGGTACTTCTAAGTATATTAGACTGTGAGATAGCATGAAGAACTTTTTTCCTTCCTTTATTTCAGAGATCCTCAGCAAGCAAGTCTTCAAGTACTCCTTCCTTCAGTAGATGGTCCAGTTCACAGCCCCATCAGGTAAGAAGTTCTTTTGAGAAACTTGACATATTTCTCTTTTGTGAAGTGCGCTTTATCTTACAATTATTATATCACAAGGTAAATGTGGAAGATTTGGGTACTTGGGATATTCTCCTTTCATACCAAAGGCCGGTCCCATTCCCTATGGCTTGTTTTCTATATCTTGGGTTTTTTAGTCAGGGCTCAGTGAGGGGAATAATGAGAGGAAAATGTTGAAGGGCCACGTTCCAAGACCTCAGTGGTTAGCTGATTAAACCAATTTAGCAATTATTGGAAGTGACTTTGCCTTCTAATTTTCTTCAACCTAATATTGTCCCTTCTGTTTCTCTTATTCCAGGGAGTCTTGTTTGTCCCGATGTGTATGGCACATGGTGTCTCTCTAGAGTGTACAACCAATACATCAGAAAGCATGCTAAGATGACAAAGAATCACCTTTGGGCTAGTCACTCGGGGTGATTTAATAATACTGAACATTATTTAACCTCTTTAGTGAAAGCTAAGCCTGCTGAGTGCTGCCATGTCTCTAGGTGTAAACAAAGCAGAATATTTCCTGTTGGGGAACAGTCTGTACACTCTGCTACAACCCCATGACTGCAGGGGCTTTTTTATACAGCAGCATATGGTGAGAACTATCTTTGGACTCTGAAATCTAGGTAGGACTTGTGTTCAAATTTCCTACTAGCCAGAAAACCAAGAGAAAATCTCCTATTCATATTTTGCTTTCTTAGTCAGAATTTTTATTTAGATGCCTTAAGTCATTTATACTGGTTGTGATAATAATGAGCAGGAAGGTACATTATAAATAGTTTTCATTCACAGTCTTCCTCCCCATTTTATTGACTTTGTGTAGAAATTTAGCATTAATAGTAATTTTCTCTAACAGCCTAATACAAGAGCTCTTTTTGTCTTCTCTTCTTTAATCTCATTTCCCCACAATTGCCAATCAGTGTGTATGTCAAAAAGTGATACAATGTCAAAAAAGACAATGTCAAAAAGTGATACAAATAAACACTCCCTTTAAGCAATATTTTAAATTGGCAAAATTTGAGGTGATGACTGTTCCATCAATTTGCTTGAGAGGTTGTGTCTCTATAAATGTGGTCTAGTAGATGAGGTGGCACAAAGAGAAGGGACAGTGGCTTGGTTTAAAGGAGTTGCTTTGAAAATTCAGGATGGGAAGCTAGAGATACAGTACAGCTGGTAGGACACATGCCTTGCACACAGTTAATCTGGATTCAATTCTCAGCACTTGGTATGGTCTCCTGAGCTTTGCCAGGAGTGATTCTGAGCTTAGAGACAGGAGTTAACCTTGAGTGCAGACAGGTGTGGCCCATCCCCCAATAAATTTTTAAAAATTTAAGGTTTGTTTCCTTACTAAACTGTAGGCATATTCTGAAAATACATGTGGGGTTGTGATTTTCTGATTCTACTTGAAGGATTTTTAGAGACCTAGCAGAAATCACCCACCTGTACTTACCCAGAAAAAGACTTTGAAACTATTCTAATCTAAGCTTCAATGTCTAAGGAAAGTAAGACTCAGAGATAATATTATCTAAAATGATAGGAATTTAGTTGGTCTTGGACTTTGAGATTTTTTTTCTCCCTAGAACTCTTTATAAGTTAAAGTGATCCTTTGGGGGAACTTCCAGGAGAGACACTATATTGTACTAATTTTTCAACATTGCTGGTCCTGGCAAAATTTATACAGTATGCAATGAGTTGACAAAAGTGGACATAGGACAGTATTTGGAACAATACTTGGTTCTGAGAATTCTTTTAATCTAATATTGTAACCTGGGAATTATAGATGGAAACAGTTCAATTTTTAATATCCTTCGCAGATTAAAATGGCTAACATTTGATATATATATGTACACACACGTATATATATTTTTCTTTGAATTGCTTTTCTTTGAATTGTTATAAGTCTGTCTATAAGTTCCAAAGTGGAAGAAGAACCAAAAGAGAGTTTTCACTTTTACCTATTAATCTTTTCATATTTTGCAATAAATCTGGCTATGTAGGAGATCTTCAATATTAGCGGTACCTTTTTGATTTGGGGATATAACAGTGAAATTATTATTGCTGCTTCTCTTCTATTAAGGATTCTTTTGAATTCTAAGTGAAAGGAGTGCCATAAATTTTAGAATCTGTATCTTTTCTTGCTGATGCTGTTGTGTTGGGCCCTTACCCATTTACTTTCTGATGGGCTATCCATGCCCATTCTTTAACATTGAGTTGTTAATGAACCATTTATAGGTTCTTTCAATATGTTGGCATATTGGAAAGAGAGAGAAGAGTAAAGAAAACTAAGATATATTTCTCTTCTGATTGCTTGGAGCAGCAGTTGGTCTCCATGATCTGAATCTCTGTTTGGATTCAGTTTCATGAACAGCTTTGTTTTCAGAATCTAGTATAATTGTCGCTTCCCCTGCCTCTCTTTCCTACCTTAGGAGACCTTTCAACTTCTCTAATCCTATGTTATTTGGTTTATTAGCTCTCCCAACACTATAATAACTCGTTCTCTGTGTTCAATTCCTTCTCCGGTTTTTCTTCTGACACCTACTATAGTGTTATGAACTTCATTCTTTTGTTTCTATAGGAAGGGTTTTTTAAGTTTATAAATATCATGTGAATATTTATAGACTCAGTAGACTTGCAGCTGCTGAAAATACAGAGATTTATTCTTTTGAGTTAACTTGGTGGGTGGTAATCTTTTTTCCCTCCTCTCCCATACGGAATAATTGTTCTTCTTTGTCACTTACACTTTAATCCTTCCTTTAAAAATTCGTATTTATTACAAAAATCTCTGTCTGTTAGATTTGTAGTGTAATTGCTTATTGGCTTCAGTTTTGGGAAGTGCCTACGTCAATACTCAGCTTGAGGTTGAAAGTACAAGTACAACTGAAGCCTTGATTCCAGCTTTGTGTCTTCAGCATTGTGCCTTCCGCTATTTTTTGGCAGTACAAGAATTTTTAGCAAACAAATTGCCATAGATTTATGTTTAATAAGAAATAGTGGGGGGAATCTAGGAGAAAATATTGGAATAAAAAAAAGTTCTCATGGATTTATATTTACCTAGAATTTAAGTGTATCTTATTCTATTTGCTTTTGAATCCTATTTGACATTTTCAGATAGACACAGGCTGATACAGTAATAAATCTGCACATAGGAACTACGCATTTGTGAATTAGTATCATTACCCTTATTTCATTATCATAATACCTAATATTTATTGCTTGCTTGCTATGTAGTATCTGTCTTCTAGTTTGTCTACATGCACTACCTAATTTAATTCCTTTAATATTTTAGGAGGGATGTGATATTTTACAACTGAGGGAACTGGCAACTCAGACACATAGTAACTTGTCCACCTCAGAGTTAGTTATATTATAATTTTTCGCTAAAAAATTTAATCTAATTTAAGCCCATTAAAACCCCTTTAAATGAGTAGTTCTATTTTGAGCTAAGCAAACCAACACTTGTAATCCAAGACTCTGATAATTATTTTGCATGAATAATTTTCTTTTTTCAAACAGGAACTGATATGTATTTAAGCACAGATACATCTATTTACAAACCATTTTGAAAACATTGACTTTAACTTATTAGTCATTTTTATTTTAAAATGTGTCATGGAGTGTTTTATTTGGAATAATTTGAAAACCCCCTTTTGCAGGAGGTGACCTGGGCCACAACTAGCAGTGCTCAGGACTTACTCCTTGCTCTAGGCTTAAGAATAATTTCTGGCAGTAGTGAGGGGTTGACCATATACAGTATCAAGGACGGTACCATTCAGGGTTGGTTACATGCAAAGCAAACACCTTAACCCAAATGCTATGTGTTTGACCTTGAAAAAATCTCATCTTTTTTCAAAACTGATTTGGCTACATGCAAGGCAAACCCCCTTTCTGGTATACAAAAAGCTCATTTTTAATAAGGAAATAATCTCCTTCGGGTATGCAGTTTCTAAGAAAGGAGCATGGAATTTTATATGTTTAGACTGTCTGCAAAAGAAAAGTCATGAGTTGAACTTTGAATAAATGAGACAAAATGATGAGAATGGTGACTTTTAGCTGTAAATTCCAAAATACAAAGGGATAAACAAAATTTGTGGTATTATCCATATTACATATTTAGAAAAGTTTCAAATATCCACTCTTATTCTCCCTCTCATTTAGAAAAATGCATATTTAATAGCTATTTTACTGTGGTTGGAAGAGAAAAGTTTTTCCTGTGGTTAATTGGTAGCAATCGTAAGTTTTGTCTTCAATGTTACATTTTTATCAATAATTATGATTTTGTTGATTGATGCCTCTTTAGCTTGTTAATAACATGTTTAGAATCTCAATAGTAAGGTCATTACTGTTAAAAGACAATGACCAGTAAATTATATATATATATTTACATATCCATAATATGGTATAAATATATATACTAATATAATGTATATGTTATATATTATGTACGTATTATATATAACATATATTAAGTTAAGACGTAAAAATTACTCAAGATATACACTTGTGTCATTATTTTCTGGCACTGAATAGACCTGACAGAATTTAAGAACTTTCAGTTTTCTAGAAGGGTTGGTTTCAAATTAGGGAAGAATAGCAATCCATTGTTTTACTGTGTTTCATCATAAGATAAAGATAGGGACTAAAGACCAACGATAAAAAGCTACAGTGGTTCTTTTACTTGGATTTTTGTTTTCATTTTTTAAGACTTGTCTGTGAAGTTCCGTATACTCATGTAATAGGAGCTTATGAAGTACTGGTTGAATTGATGTACTTCTTTAAATAGGCTAGAGCGATAGCACAGTTGGTATGGCATTTGCCTTGCATGCAGCTGACCTGGATTCGATTCCTCCATTCCTCTCAGAGAGCCCAGCAAGCTACTGAGAGTATCCCGCCTGCACAGCAGAGCCTGGCAAGCTCCCTGTGGTGTATCCAAATACAGTAACAAGTCTCACAATGGAGATGTTACTGGTGCCCGC